TGCATAGAAATCATCGAAGGACATCCTGTAACTCGAACAAGTAATAATAGCAACAAACTAACCAAATAAAGTTAAGCTACAGTACGAGATATGTAATGTGTGTTTTATATCACGTACCAAAATACCCCATCTTCATTAGAGTTCACACCAACTTCCAACTGCGTTTGTCTGTCTATGTTATCCCACTCCGATGAGTTTTCACTCCACGCTCCTCTCCATTCCTTGAGTTATTGGTATGGTTTTCCAACATAATGTTGATAAAACCAAAAAAATTACTCCTTCCCCATGCGGATTTCTAATTTTCAGAAATGGAGTCTTTCCATTATAATCTTCCACGGTATGAAGAGACATGAGACTGTACGCGTGTGCAGTATAAAGGCCATTTTCCAACTCCTCACCTTCCGTTGCTTCTGGAGCGGCCTTGAAAGGGCAGATCATCACACAAACACAAATGATATAAAACATGAATTGCTTTCAAGAAAAAGAAGAGTTGTTAGAATCTATAGGTACAAAAATCTAACATTAATCCCGCAGCCAAAGATGGAACCCATTTGAAAACTCTGATGATAATAGCGAGGAGTTCAATCTTCGCTTCCTCCTCTTCCAATCCTTGCCAACGGTAGACCTCAGTTAAACCTCCGGTGAAGTCCTCCAGTGCCTCATCAGTGGATCCTCCTTCGATATTTTCATAAGAACCGTAGAGCCTTGATAAGAATATCTTGAAACAAAGTCAATTAAAGTAATCGATTTTGTTTATCTGATTGTTTAACTAATGGGTTGTGGGATACCTTTGTTTCAAAGCTGGATAAAGTCCAAAAAATTATATTGCATTACTTATTTGGAGGTTTTCTTCTATAAATAATGTATTTGACTTCTCCAACGTTTTGGTTTTGATGAGTTAAAAGTGATTGATTATATTAACGGTAAAAAAAACTCTGGAGTCGACCATAATGTTACTCACGGCTGTATTTTGAGATGCTGATAAAGAGAATCATATCGCTTGCCCACATGAACACTCACTGTAGAATTGCACTAGATATACGCTATAAGGAACAAAGTCATTAAAGGTGAAGATCTATCGAACAATGAGGAATTTTGTATTTTCTGCGCAAAATAACTACAGTGGAATGGATATGCTAATTGTAATCAGCATTTGAAACCCTATTAGATCTTTCACATGTAAATCAGTAATCTCGATTCCTGCAGCATAGACCTACCGTAGAGCGAAGTTTCTATGGTATGGAATGAA